CCAGTTTTAAGTTTCTGCGAGACCTGGGCTACGGGGATTGAATTCTTGACATTCTAGGATGAAAATAGAGTGTTTTGAAAGGTATTCAGAAGGGTCTAAACTTGTGTTAAATTTTCAGAAGGCCTGGTAATCCATAATCTTCCATAAGAAGCTAAAAGAAGAAACAACCAGAAACTCTTAGGAAAGAGATCAATATTACCGTGATGCGGATAATTCAAGTTGCTTGTTTTAAAATTAGCATTTGAACTAGGAATTTTAAGTTTAAATCATATGACAGTGGTATAGGATTAAGCATCACAATTAATATAATGTCGGTTAAGCTTAACAGGAAATTAGTTGATGTTTACAAGTCATTATGTATAATCAACTAACCGGATGATATGGAGTAGTTTAAACGAGCATGTAAATTTTGATATTGATATTAGTATGCTGATAGGGGATTAAAGAATGGATTACACTTATTATCTGCGTTCTTAAACTGTTAAAGAATCATGTGTTGTTCATATATGACAAGCTTGCAATTTATATATTCTTCTTGTACTTGTTATAGATGTGTGGATATTGATATTTATAATATCATCTGTATTATTAATAGTTGGATGGATGGTGTTATACTTGTTATGGATTGGTTGATATTGATTTTATCTCATTATTTGTATTATCAACATTGGATGGATGGTTTGTATGCACCGGTATGGGACGATGACATACTAGGGGGATTAGCTCAAAAACGCTAAGTCCTACCTACTCTGGATTAAGGGATGGATTAACTACAAAAGTTAAGTCCTACCTGTATTTTGTGTCAGATCACTAAATAGTTGAGTGACACTTTTAGTTTGGAACGGATTTTAAATATATTTTTATGGTGCCACGATATGAGCCTGAGTCTCAGAGTCGTTGGCTAGGGAGCATATATGCATTGGGATGCATAGCTGGCTATGATGGTTGGATGTGTACCCTGCTAGGTCTAGGTAGTCATGCTCACCTCAGGTGCGTTTTGCATGGTGCCTACTAGTCAGGTTGAGACGGGCCTGTAGTCCAGTGAGAGTCCTGTAGTGTGATTATATATATATGTATCTACGAACTATTTAGTTATTGTTGAATTGGTTAGGATGTACATGCGTATCAGGTCTCTGCTTGGGTAGTAGTAGTATAGAACTTGCTAGTGGGCCTGACCCACTTATTATTTTTCAGGTATTGGGTGTTTGAGGTCTTAGAGCTTGTTCGAGCTGAGCAGAGACGATCTTTCATTCTACCGACGATGTAGGACTTCTTTCCAGATATTCGATTTGGGCTTGTATCTTCAGTTATTTATTTTTGTTCGGTTTGGATTTTTATTAGGGGTCCACTGGAGATGGATTCTCGAGTTGTAAACTTATGAAGTTTGGATTGTCAGAGTTTAAATATTTATATTTGAGGATTTTTAATTTAGTATTCCTTCAGCTTATTATTATTATTTCTTAAATTCATTTTGTATTCTGTGTTCGATTAAATATTAATTGTTTGATATCCTTCGGATCTGTGCTCGGACTTGATCACCCGTGGCTCTAGAATCGAGGGGTATCACAGTTGGTATCAGAGCCCTCCAGGTTCAAGTGTCTCTAAGATTCTATTGAATAAGTCTTCCGCGTAGCATTCTCTCTTATTTAGAGCTTTAAGATTAGGATTCGTTGAATTCCTTTACGGCCCGTTTACAATCGTATTGATGTTTGTCTTTCTATGTTAATAGTATGGTTAACGCTAGAAGATGACAGAACATGAACAGTCGACTGAGGAGACTGGCACGTAGGCAGCAAGAACACCTGCGACGTCGGCAAATGGGGGAAGAGCAGCAAATGCCTAGGTTTCAGGAGGAAGATGGTCAGTTGCAGATAGAGCATGAGGAAATTCAGCATACTCAGGAGTCTCAGCAACAGGCCTACAATCAGGGCAGGGATCCAGAGGATTCTCCTCAATTAGTTTACATCATTGCTCAGGCTGTAGCTACAGGCGTAGCAGCGGCACTTCAGAGTCAGCTACATGTGCAACAAACACTTGAAGCAGTACCAGTGGTGCAGAATGTGGTTAAAGTTCATTGTTTTGGCTACGGAGAAGATGGGCATACATCCAACCAATGTCCTGAGTTAGCCCAGAGACAGCAGAATGGGGTACCACAGGCAGAATGGGATCAACTACAGTCTAACCAGCAGAGGAGGCCGTTTGGTACTTTTAGGGGTACTTGCTATACTTGTGGAGAGTACGGTCACACTGCTAGGCAGTGTCCTAGACGAGGAGGTATCGGGCCATCCCAGCAGGAAGGTACTAAACCGTAAGGAGGATGGCTCTTTTAAGAGTGATTTTTGGTTATTGATAGTGGAGGAGATTTTAATAAAAGTGTGGTATGGATTTAAACACATACACTAGTTGTGTGTTAAAGATTATTTTCGATTATTCGTTTGACAGTTTATGATTTGGAAAAGTTCTTAATAAAGTAAACTAGCAGTTTTAGCTATTTTTGAATTGTGCTGTGTGATAGTATGTTTTGTGGTATATATGGTTTTTTATTAAACTATAGTGGGATGATTATGTTATATTAATAGATGATTATCCCAGTGGAGTGATTGGGGTTTGTGGAACAAGCAAGCAAATAGTTGCTTGTAAATACATGGTGTGGAGACGGGTTGATTACCAAGAAGTTTATAAGAGAACTTGTGTAAATCAATATGGTAGGTTTGGTTTAGAAGGAGGAATTCCCAGGATAGAATAATAATCTAAATTGGGATAATTATGGAGCATTTCGTTTTACCTTATGTGTTTTGCTCTATGAAGTTTTTAGAAACATTGGATTTTCATGGATTGGTTGGCGACACGCGTATGCAGTAGACCTCAGGATATTTCTACATGGTTGGGCAATACTGCCATTTTTCATGAGAGTGATGTGCCTGTGACACTAGATATTGGTAGACTCGGATTTCTAGCCAATTTTTTATCCTAGACATGTACACTTAGGACGGGATACTTATGATGGATCGGTTACCACTGCCATGCTCAAGTTCTTTATTTTGGATGGGTCTATTATGGTTACCATACCTAGTCAGGATGTTTACGTCGTTGTTAGGCCACGTTTAAACGGGGACACTAGCACTTATTTGTTCTAAATAGAGTAAGAAACGGAAGAAGGGATTACTGTATCATTGGCTAGCATACCGATTGTACAGGATTTCCCAGATGTATTTTAGGAGATTCCAGGGTTGCCGCCTAGCCGCGAAATAGACTTTGTAATAGACTTAGCTCCAGGCATTACGCCACTTGCGAGGGCACCATACAGGATGGCCCCAGTGGAGATGAGAGAGCTGAGGGATCCCATTCAGCAATTACTCAGCCAGGGTTTCATTCGTAGGAGTACTTCACCCTGGGAAGCACCGGTTTTATTTATGAAGAAGAAGGATGGTTCACTCCGCCTGTGTATAGACTACAGGAAGTTGAACAAGGTTACAATTCGTAACAAGTATACCTAGGATTGATGATTTTTTTTTTATAAGTTAAGGGGAGCCACGTATTTCTACAAGATTGATCTGCATTCTGGTTATCATCAGCTGCGAGTTAGGGAGCAGGATATCCCTAAGACTGCGTTTCTCATGAGATATGGTTATTATGAGCTCCGTGTCATGCCATTTGGGACGATTAAGTCCTATCTGTATTTTGTGTCAGATCACTAAATAGTTGAGTGACACTTTTAGTTTGGAACGGATTTTAAATATATTTTTATGGTGCCACGATATGAGCCTGAGTCTCAGAGTCGTTGGCTAGGGAGCATATGTGCATTGGGATGCATAGCTGGCTATGATGGTTGGATGTGTACCCTGCTAGGTCTAGGTAGTCATACTCACCTCAGGTGCGTTTTGCATGGTGCCTACTAGTCAGGTTGAGACGGGCCTGTAGTCCAGTGAGAGTCCTGTAGTGTGATTATATATATATGTATCTACGGACTATTTAGTTATTGTTGGATTGGTTAGGATGTACATGTGTATCAGGTCTCTACTTGGGTAGTAGTAGTATAGAACTTGCTAGTGGGCCTGACCCACTTATTATTTTTCAGGTATTGGGTGTTTGAGGTCTTAGAGCTTGTTCGAGCTGAGCAGAGACGATCTTTCATTCTACCGATGATATAGGACTTCTTTCCAGATATTCAATTTGGGCTTATATCTTCAGTTATTTATTTTCGTTCGGTTTGGATTTTTATTAGGGGTCCACTGGAGATGGATTCCCAAGTTGTAAACTTATGAAGTTTGGATTGTCAGAGTTTAAATATTTATATTTGAGAATTTTTAATTTAGTATTCCTTCAGCTTATTATTATTATTTCTTAAATTCATTTTGTATTCTGTATTCGATTAAATATTAATTATTTGATATCCTTCGAATCTGTGCTTGGACTTGATCACCCATGACTCTAGAATCGAGGGGTATCACAGATTCCTACTCGTCCTAACTATATTTTTAATGAAAGGTAATAGTGGCTTTTATAAATATAAAATTCTTGACCCTCGCCTTAGAATCCACACACTCTTAAGCTTGATTGTGGTGCGGCAACACATCGCATTATCGCCCCGTGGTCGACGATACCTGCGATCCGAATAGTTTTTAGCGACCAAAAAATGAATTGATGGCTAATAAGCCCCTTTTTGCGACCAATTCATTATCTACCAAAATGAATTTTAACAACCAATTTATATGGTCGCAAATAATGAACCCTTTTGCGACTATTACATTTGGTCGTAGATAAGCTCCCCTTTTGTGACCATTATATTAGTCGCAGATGAGGGACCCTTTTGCGACCATTATTTTTGGTCACAAATGAGCTACCCTTTTGCAACCCTTATTTTTGGTCGCAAATGAGCTACCCTTTTATGACCATTAAATTAAAACATTTTTGGACCGATAATATAATTAATAAATCTATCAATATTTCAATTTTTTTAATTTAAAATACACTAGTAATTAAATACCATTAATCACATATAGTAAAAACTTAAAAAATAATTCAATTAATTATTTCAAATAAAATACATCCATTACACATTGTATACATATATCCATAGGGCTTGTCTATAAAAAAAAAGAGAAACTATTAAATACATCCATGCATAGCATTTCCATTACATCTAACAATGGCTTGTCTATTAAAAACCAACTAATAAATTATAAAAAAAAACCAACATATCCATAAGAATACAAAATATGAACGAATTACTAAAGACATCGCTTTACTCAGGGAATTAAGCTATGTCAAGCTTGTCCGTGCTGGTTTTATACATTTGTGTCATTTACTCATATTGCTCCAAATCCTAAACAGTTTTTCTTTTCGACTTTCCATACTCGGTCTCACTTTAAGTGTTTGTACACTCTCTAGAATAATAATTTTCTTCACAGCATCCCATTTATTAGCTGCAATTTGTCTTTATGATAACATTTTGGGTATGATATGCCTGTCAAGAGAAACAAGAAATATAAAGAATGGTTATGATCATTAAATAATTTATATGATGAGTAGGGCAACACAATTTTTGCTGAGAGTGTCCCAATTAGGAAATACAATATCTTAAAATTGAATATGATGATTCATAAAATAATATAGAAAGTTAAAGTCACTTTATCATCAAGAATGAAAGGATGGCAACACTTTAGTCATCCTACATTGAATAAAAATTACAACTTTATTGACTTCCAATCTGCCAATACAATTATAGCGGAGAATAAATTCCAGATTCGATACGCAAGCAAAAAAAATTATTGTTTCATAACAAGAAAGTATAACCTGGTCCATTCCACCAAACTGTATCTTAGTGTGTCATTCGCAGTCACACACAAATGTAGCAAATTTATTTTTGTAAAATAAAGAATCAAACTAGATTCAGAATAAAAAAGATAAATTACAACATTTTTCCAAGTGAGTTCTTTTTTTTTTTCAAAAAGTTTTTTACTAGGGAGTTGGTAGAATATTTCCTAATAATTAAAATGTAACGTTGATTTAAAGCAAAATTATAACATAGTAATCTTTATAATGATTTAGAGTGCAAATGTCAAATATTGATTCATAGAACTTTTGGTAAAAATGTAAAAATGTAACCTTTATTGAAATAGATAAAAATGTCAAATACTGATATACTTGCATCCAACCTTTTTGATTTAGCATAATCATAGTAATCTTTAAACCAAGATTCGAACCAAAAGCATAAACATTTCAAATATAGTGTGAACTTCAAAAACTATGAATAAAGGTTGTTTAAATTCAACTTGTACTAGCAGAATATTTCCTAATAATTAAAATGTAATGTTGATGTAAAGTAAAATTGTAACATAGTAATCTTTATAATGATTTAGAGTGCAAATGTCAAATATTGATTCATAGAACTTTTGGTAAAAATGTAAAAATGTAACCTTTATTGATTTTGTAAAAATTTCAAATACTGATATACCTACATCGCCCTTTTGATTTAGCATAATCATAGTAATCTTTATACCAGCATTCGAACCAAAAGTATAAATATTTCAAATATAGTGTGAACTTCAAAAACTATGAATAAAGGTTGTTTAAATTCAACTTGTACCAGCAGAAAATAATTTAACAGTAATTTATTATCTAATAGGAGATGGTTAAACCCATTTTTGAATCACTTTATTTAGTCTAAATATTGAGTGAAATTGAACAGCCAAAAAAAAAAAAAAGCAACCATACAATTACAATAGTACTTCACATTTATATCATGTATATTTGCTCTTAACACACTACAATTTAGTAGAATGCAGTATTCGTCAAACATGTATGGAGGTGTATCCAGTAATTATAAAAATAAAATAGTTAAACAAATGATTAACTTGTTACAATTAAAATCCCCATACTAGAGGCGTATTTAGTTACTTAGCAAGAAATTCTACTCCAATAAAGATGGCAACACTTTAGTCGTCCTACATTGAATAAAAATTACACTTTATTGACTTCCAATCTGTCAATACAATCATAGTGTAGAATAAATCCAAGACTGAAGGAAAAAAAAAAAAAAAAACATATTTCTTTATCGCAATAGAACTAATAGCCAAATATTACATTTTTCCTCTCCACTCTTGAGACATGCAAAAGGCATTCATGATTATTTACTATCACTTCTAAAAATGATGCATGATTATTTAGTGTAGTGAGGAGGCATGCAGAAGGTATTCATTGGCAAAGAATTTCTAATAAGAAATGCCAACAGAAACTATTCCATATAATTACATAATCAATGAGAAGTCTAATTAGGCAAGAGGCTGAAGGACTTGTAAATTTATATATTTGATTGATTAAATATACTTTTTGTAATTTGCAGAAGACTACTCTTTTATGGTGCTTGGCCCAAGAGTTTTGAAAAAATTAGATTTTTGTTTGATAAATGCATATATTTCTGTTATGGTTCTTGCAGTAAAATTATGAGTGAAAGAGTGCAGCATTGAACAGAATCTATTACCTCAAGTACTTGACATTCTTATGATTGAAATATTAATTTCTAAAGGGCAAAATGAATGTTTTGAGAATTTTATATCACATTGCCTAGCAATTTCTGTCTTATTACATCTCTTTTCTTTTTAGAATCTTCTTTAACTTCTTTTCCTTTGAAAGTTTAGATTCTCTTTTCAGAGCACGTTTGGCGATCTTTAGACTTTGAAGTTTCAATGTAAGGCTTAATCATTGAATCACATTTGTTGTTCACTTTTATATTATTTCACAGTTTTTGTTCATTCTACTAGTCACATATTACTTCAAAGTATATCATAACAAGACACATTACCAAGTAAGATAATCCAAGTAACCTAGTAAATCAAAATTAATCCTGATTAAACAAAGTTCATGCTACTCTAAAATCGATGATTGAGAAAGTGAGAAGAAAGCATGTGTAAGCTATACATTATATTTAATATAAATAAATAAACAGAGACATAAAAGGCCATAATTATAAATGATAAAGTAACATGAACTTTGGCGTTCTATACTTGTGGACAGTAATACTACAGGCCAAAAGCAAGAAAATAATTTAGAGGATGCTAAATTCTTTCTATACTAGTTTCTCAGAGTTATTCATATCATCATCATTCGAGGTATTAATTCAATTTCTTTCTGTAATTATTTTCTTCTTCATATTTGCAACACAACAGATATATCTATATCTTATTCTTTCCTTTTTTGTCAAAACCCTAAATGGCAAGTGCACAACTCAAATACTTTCTTAAACAACAACATTGCTATTAGAAATTACCTTTTAATATAAATACATTGCAAAGAGAGCTCGAATTAGAACATATAGGGCCCGTTTACTAATGCTTTCGCTTTCTTATTTTTGCTTTCTCCAAAAGTAAAATTATAATTCTCATTTCTAAAACTGAAATACATAATAAAATCATGTTTAATAATCTTTTATACTTTCAATATTTTGAAAACAAGAAATTAGAAAGTAAGTTTAATAATTATTACTTTAATTTTTGTTTCTACTAAGCACAGGTTCGAATCCACCAAGTGATCCTAGGAAGTCCATACAAAAGAGTGTTGGTCCAAATACTGATATTCTAGTAAAACTGTTCAGGAAGCCTGATCTAGCATTTGGAAAGTTCTCGTTTATATTTTATCCTTCAACAGAGGACCCGAAATCAATGGGGCTTGTGAGGGTTACCTTTGGAAAGTCCAGTAGTGAATTTAGCAGCGAGGATTGTAACAAAAGGGATACCCTGCTACATTATCTTACCAAATTCTTAAAAACTTCAACCCAGATTGATAGGGACTCACACAGGAATTGGAGTGGGCATATTGCAAATGTTTGATTTATGAAATCAACCAGCAACAAAACCTTCGTTCCTTCTCTTATGGAAAAAATGGCCAAGAAGAATATAATCAGAAAACCAACCCAACAGATCTAACACAACACAGCTCCAGCCCCCTCTCCTCCTTACATGGACAAGGCCGCCGCCTCCGCATCCTCGAGCTTGGCTCTCGTCGCAATCGCTACCTAAGTCACCATAACAAACATCCCTCATGTGCTCCTGAACCTCCGCTCAATGGTTGTGGTGGGTTTTGATGTGTATGAGATATGAGAGAGATGGTTGATTTGGGTTTCTACACTTATGGGGTTTGATGTGTATTAGAGAGGAGATAGATGATTGTGGCAGTGGCTATAGTGGCTATGGTGGGATTTGATGTGTATGAGAGAGGAATGAGAGAGGGAAGAGATGGCTGATTTGGGTTTATTATTTGATGATGACAGAAAGGGAGACGATGGTCGTTGATGATGGTCGGGTAAAATGCTACAGTAACTGAAACTGAAAGCATTTGCAATGTACAGTGTAAAAAATAGCGGAGGTCAACTGCTTGGGCTTGCAATGTACAGTGTAAAAAATAGAGAAAGTAATTCTCTTTCTTTCTTTCTTTCATTAAATGTGAAAGTCCTTCCTAAAATGTGAAAAGTAAAATTATATTAATAAACATAATTTTTACTTTTTACTTTACCCATGCCTATAATAAGCTAAAAAAAAACGAAGAAGAGTATATTGATCATGATAACTAAGAAGTTCCCAAATTCTAAGAACCATTAATATCCAAAACCATATATATATATATATATATATATATATATTGAAATCAAATTCCCAATAGTAAATTCTAAAAACCCTAACATCAATCTTATCTTCCGTCTTCTCAAATCCAAAAAAAAAAACTTTGAGCTAAAAAATACTAAACTTGACCAACCGCTCTACAACTAGCAGGCCCTTTATTCCAAAAATAAAGGAGTGGTGCATACTGATTAGTTAAGGATGAAGAGGAGGTCAGGGGCTGAAGAGCAAAACATCAAGCTTTCGGGTTTTCAATCATAATGGAATGGATCTACCTTACACAAGGGGGGTTTAATTCAGCCAAGCACAGAGAAAGTGGAATATGAAATCAGTAGAAGCGAGGGCCAGCGAAAAAGTGATAGAAATTGATGGGATAAGCTCGAACGTACCTTTTCTTTCGAAACAATATAAATAGATCAAAGCTGTAGTAGATTATACACTCAACAATGAAGATACAGAGCGATAGGCAACTGAAAATACATGGGAAAGATTCAAAACCCATCCATATACCCAAAATCCTTAAAACCCTAAACGCCACATTAGAACTCAAAATTCCCTAATTGTAAATCAAATCACCCCTAATTGTAAATCAAACCACTAAGAAGAGTGAGAACAGTTACCAGTGGTGAAGAGATCAAGCAAAAGATCGAAGAGAAGAGAACGATCAGATATGGCCGCGTCGGTTGATGTTATGGAAGAGGGAGTATCGTTACGACAGAGTAGAAGAGACGATAGAAGTACGGTGAGACAATGAGGTGCCTATAAGAGATTTAGAATCCCAATGCGAAATAAATCTAATTTTCCTTTTGCGAAATAAATCTAATATTTTTTTTGGCGCCCAGTGCATTTGGCCAAAAATTAATGTTTAAATATAAACCATTTAAATATCTGGAAGTTTTTATAAGTAATTTAAAAAAATTATAATTTTTTTAAATAGAATGAAACATACTATAAGTTTTATATAAGTGTCATACAAATTAAATTAATTTTCATATATAAGTAAATTTATTTAAATAATAAATAATTATGATATCTTTTTATATGTAATTTTATTTTTAATATATTTTTTTCCAATGATGTCCCTGGATTTTCTCCCTCTCTTATATTCTATATATATTTTATAATAATATATATATTTTTTTATGAAATATGGAAAGTGCCCCCTCCCCTGAATTTTCTCATTCTTCATAAAATTCTATATATGTTTCATATTTTTTTCTCATAAATTATTTCCTTAATATTTATATTCTATATCTGTAAATTAATTTAATTCCAAAAATATCACTATCTCTTTCTATATATATGTGTTTGAGTACCCACTAGGGAAAAAAAATTTGTGAGTACCAACTAGGGAAAAAAAAAATTCTATATTTCTTTACAAAAATTTATAAAAAGGATAAATATTCCTTTTCTATATTTCTTTACAAAAATTTATATAAAAGGATAAATATTCCTTTTACCAATCGTCTTAAATATTTCTATATCTCTCTATATATATACACCATTATTAAATGTACGTAAAATTTTTGTACTTTAAATAAAAAAAATAAACAAGAATCTAAATTAATTTATATATAAATAACAAAAAGCTGTATGTAACACAAACTTTATTACTTAATTAGTCAATTCTTTTAAATATATAATAAATATTTTTGAGAGAAGAGTTATTGTTGTGGTTGAGAACAAGATAAATTAAGAAATGAAATATCACTGAAATTGCAAACAAAAATGAGATATCGGTTTACCCTGAATAGAAAAGAAGTTGAAGGTTGCAATAAGAGATTTTTGAAGAATATGGCTAAGAATAGAGAAATATAGTGTTTGCAATTAGTAAGTCAATCAATTTTATTATGAGTAAGAATTGGCAATGAAAGAGTTCCTATAACTAAAACGGTGCAGTTTTTAAATTTTGGTAAATTTTTCTTATCTCAAAACAGTGCAATTTTCAAACTTTCTTTAATTTAGTTAGCGTAGTTTAACACTAGCAGTAAATAAATTTTAGATGTCACATGTCAATCTGTAGCAAATTCAACCTACAATAACTTAGAGAATATTTAAGTTAAAGGATCCAAATCCTTAATGTAGAGCGGTCGTGTTCATGTAGATATTCTATTGTATTTATTTTAACTTAATAAAGGGGTATTAAAAATATTATTTTTAAAATAAGTCTAAAAAGAGAGAGAGAGAGAGAGAGATATATATATATATATATATATATTTGATAGATTTGTGCATTTGACCATTACGCTCACGAGTTGTGTTAAACATTAACTCCTCTCTGCGAAAAAATTCCTATATTTCAGGAAAAAAAAATTATATAAAAGGATAAATATTCCTCTTACCAATTCTGTTAAATATTTCTATATCTCTCTCTATATATACACTATTATTAAATGTATGTAGAATTTTTGTACTTTAAAAAAAAATTAAACAAGAATCTATATTTATTTATATATAAATAACAAAAAGTTGTATGCAACACAAACTCTATTACTTAATTAGTCAATTCTTTTAAATATATAATACATTTTTTTAATAAAAAAGATATCGTTGTGATATAGCTGATATTGCAAACAAAAATGAAATATCGGTTTATCCTAAATAGAGAAGAAGTTGAAGGTTGTAAAAAGAGTTTTTGAAGAATATTGCGATATTGATATCGCTCTAAAAAAATTTCAATATTTAAACCTTAGTCAATTATATTAAAAATATACTCCATAATATATATTTTTATATTTTTATTAAATAACAATAGTTATTTATTAAAATATTTAAGATATAGCTCAATTTAGATCGAGAATTAATAAAACACTTAATAATTGTAGAGAAATTATTTTAATTTTTATATCAATTAATAAATATTTTATATTAATAATTCTTATAAAATTAGCTTATTAAAAAACTCATAATAAATAGATATATAGGTAATTTGTGTTACAATTTTATAAATTTTTTTTTAAAAAGCTCTTTTTATATCAATTAATAAATATTTTTTATATTAAAAAATTATTTTCTATTTTTTTATATTAATATTTTTTGTCTAATTAGATTTTCTTTTATTAAAAAACTCATAATAAATAGATAAATAGGTAATTTTGATTAATTAATTAAATTTTTTTATATTAATTAATAAATAATGAAATACTGAAACACTGAAATACTAAAACACTGAAACTTTTTATACTTTAATAATATAATAAAATAATTTTTATAAAATCTACAAAAAATTAACTACTTTATTTTCTATAAAACTCTATCACAATATCTATTTATTATGACTTTTTTAATAAAATAAAATCTATTTACACAATAATATATTTAAAGAAAATAAAATAATTTCCATAAAATTCTTCCACAAATCAGTTATTATATTTTCTATAAAACTCAATCACATATAACCTGTATTTATCTATTTACTATGATTATATTTAAAGAAAATAAAATAATTTCTATAAAACTCTATCACAAATTACCTATTTTTTTTTTTTAAAAACTCTATCACATATATCTTGTATTTGTCTATTTATTACAAGTTATTTAATAAAAGGAAATCTAATTAGACAACGATATATTTAAAGAAAATAAAATAATTTCTATAAAACTCTACCACAAATTACCTATTTTATTTTCAATAAAACTCTATCACATTAGAGAAAGATATATTTAAAGAAAATATATAATATATATATAATACATATAAATAAAATATAAAATTATTAAAAGTGTAATGAGTTTCAGTGTTTCAGTATTTCAATGTTTATTTATTAATATAAAAAATATTGATTAATTAATATAAATTACCTATTTATCTATTTTTTATGAGTTTTAATAAAAGGAAATCTAATTAAACAAGAATGATTAAAAATAAATATTAATTGATAGAAAAAGAGTTTTTTAAAGAATTTCTATAAAACTTTAACACAAATTACCTATTTATCTATTTATTATGAGTTTTTTAATAAAAGAAAATATAATTCAGCAAGAATTATTAATATAAAAATTATTTTTTAATTAATGTAAAAAAAAAATAATTTCTATCAAATCTACCACAAATTAGTTATTTTATTTTCTATAAAACTCTATCACAATATCTAAATGACTTTTTTACTAAAATAAAATCTAATTATACAATAATATGTTTAAAGAAAATAAAATAATAGTGTTTGCGATCTGATATCGCTCTTAAATTTTCAATATTTAAACCTTAATCAATTCTCTAAAAAATACACTCCATAATATATATTTTTATATTTTTATTAACTAGCAATAGTTATTTATTAAAATATTTAAGGTACAGGTCATTTTAGATTGCAAATTAATAAAACACTTAGTAATTATATATTCATACTTCTTTTTTTTTTTCCTTATATTGACATTTTTTTATATTAATTAAGCTCGAAACAATAAATGACTAATTTGCCTATCTTGTAATTAATAACATTTTTGCCGAGTCATTAATTAGTCAGACATATTATTTTACAAAAAATTTAGAAGTCATCTTGTATTGTTAACAAAATTTTTCCTTTTGCAACCATAAGTTATTTTGGTCGTTAATACCTTGTCTAATTGCGACCAAAATTTGATCGTTTTGCAACCATAAAATTTGGTCTTAAAAAACCAATCCTTTCGCAACCATAATTTGTTTTGGTCGTTAACACTTTCACTAATTGCGACCAAACTTTGATCATTTTACAACCATAAAATTTGGTCGTAAAAGACCAATTCTTTTGCGATCATAATATAGTTTGGTCGTTAATACTTTGACCAATTGTGACCAAACTTTGATCATTTTCAACCATAAAATTTGGTCGTAAAAGTCAAATTCTTTCGCGACCATAATTTATTTTGGCCGTTAATACTTTGACCAATTGCGACTAAACTTTGATCATTTTGCAACCATAAAATTTGGTCGTAAAAGATCAATTCTTTTGCGACCATAATTTATTTTGGTCGTTAATACTATAACCAATTGCGACCAAACTTTGATCATTTTGCAACCATAAAATTTGGTCGTAAAAGACGAATTTTTTCGCGACCATAATTTATTTTGGTCGCTAATACTTTGATCAATTGCGACCAAACTTTGATCATTTTGCAATCATAAAGTTTGGTCGTTAAAAATCAATCATTTTGGGACCATAATTTATTTTGGTCGTTAATGTTCTTATCAATTGCGACCAAAATTTACTTTAGTCGCTAATATGTTAACTTTTACGACCAACTCATTTTGGTCTCAAATAACATAGTATTTGCGACTTTTTCAGTTTGGTCACAAATAATTTGGTCGCAAAAGGCCCCGTTTGTTGTAGTGAAGGGAACAGAAGCAAGTCCCACTCAGTTGGCAAAACTGCTACAGAGCCAGGAGTCCCGAACCATGAAGGAAGTCCAAGTCCTCACTGGGAGAGTAACAGCTCATAGCCGCTTTATATCCAGATTATCAGACAAATACAAACCATTCTTCGACGCAATCAAAGTAAGAAAATGAGATATTTGGGGGGTAGAGCAAAAAGAAGCTCTCGTGAAACTCAAGGAGTACATGATAAATCCCCCAATTTTATCTGCCCCAGAGCCCGAAGAGCCGTTGTACCTCTACCTAGTGGTATCTCAGTCAGCAACTAGCTCGGCCCTAGTAAGAGAAGTGGGAAAAAAGTAACACTTGATCTCTACTCCAGCACACGACTGACGCAGAAAGCCGGTACTCAATGGCAAAAAAAATCATCCGTAATCTAGTTCAAGCCAAAAGGAAACTTTGACACTATTTCGAGGCTCAT